AGTGCATAAGCTTGTGCAGCTTCCCAATGTGTTAGAACATGATCTTTGTGCACGGAAAGGTACAGTCTGCCCCAATCTTAATCAGCCCAAAATTGGCATGGCGGGAGACTCCCGCCGGGAGTCCGCCCTTCGGCCTGCTTGCCTGTTCTCTCTTCATCTCTTCGCTCTCTCAGACACTGCGCAAAGTACTGGCGCTGCGTGCACGCGATTTCAGCGAACAGCTCGGCCTGATCCCGATTGGGGCACACCGTATAAAAGGTATAACCAGCTCGTTTACAACGACTAAGCATTTTTGTGCGATCAAATTTACAGCATAGCTTCGCGACGATGATCAAAAGAAAAGTATGAAGAATACATCAATTTTTTATTCAAGCTCCAATTATGAGTATTTAAACCAAACCTAAACCCAACTCTCAACCCCTCTGCTTCGCTACGGCTCGCATAAAAGAAACCATTTTTTCGCTTTTGCTTGTTTTATATCTGATTTCCCTGGTGTCTTCTTCCCTTTTGTCCGTTAATCGTTCGCTGCAGATTACAAACCGGACTCCAAAAATTCACCGAAGTTATTCGTAAACTGCTTAACTTAGACTTTGTTTCCAAGATTCTCATACGCCATCTTGTGCTGGGCCCTCTACAAAACGGTTACAATGTGAAACACATAAGAGGTCCAGAGGTCTGAAGTCATAGAAACTCCTGCTTGCATAAGGAAACCGTTGTATGATGAAAGGGGACAGAGCAGTAGTTAGCGGCGTATTGTTACTGCTGGTTGATGGTTAGACGGGTGCTTGCTCACAACCTTACCGCATGTCTAACTTGAAATGTATGCGCTTGTTATCCTGTGCGTTTTACCTGCGTTGTTGAGTTTTACTAGAAAAGACTACAAAGACGTGATAGTCCAAGCGTTCCCATAAACCAGCACTGTTTAGGAGTATCAATTTTAGGTAGGGACACTAGCGACGGGACCTGGACCATCAACAAGAACACAATCCATCGAAGACTTGGGTGCTCGTATAGAGGCTGAAGAAGCGGAAAGAATGCGAGCTGATGGCGAAAATCCTTTGAAATACATGGTGAAAGATGGCATTCTTTTCAAGAAAAACAAGACACCCGTAGCAAGGTAATTTCCACATTACAAATCAAACTGATTCTTAATTTGATCGTGGAAAACTAGTAGATGATCGAAGCAAACCACCAATAAACATTACCAAAATCAACTTCAGGATTAGTATGTTGACAAAGTTCACTGATGAAGCCGCCTTGCCCATGTTCGCTGATAAAGATCATCACAGATGAGTTCGATAGGTTTAGCAGAATCCCCTCGGTGATGGTGGTGGCATTTGCCAATATGTCTAGGCAGAAGAGATTGCGCGTTTTGACACCAAAAAAAGCGCACCGTGGTCCAAAATCTAGTGAATGATTCGCTTACAGAATCAGCATGCCACATGGAGGGGATGCAAAGCTCGGATTGAGCAGGAAAAGACCGCAGACGATGGTGGTGAGCAAAGCTTGGTCATCTATGTCACATTTGTCATCAAGAATACAAGTGAGACAACGCACAATATTATCAAAATTAGGTCATTCATGGCAAAAAATCAAAGGAGGTGGAACACCATTGATGCCATGAAACATTTTGTCTTCTCTATATCATTTCATTCAGGAATCTTCTCCATTCATCTCCGAATTAATGCCACCAGTCAATCATGGTACACCTATCAATCCGCTAAGTACTGTACGGCCAAAACCAACCCCTCCACACAGTCCAGTATGGCTACTTCTTCTAGAAAAAAAATTACAAAAATAAAACCTTTTAGCCTACCATAAACCTTCAACAATCATTGTTCCTCAAAAATCCTGCACGTCTAAGGAAGAAGCATCGAGAAGATCCTTCGACAGCTTTATTATCAAGCAGAACATTAGAAAAAGCGCGTGGTTCGCCACCAATCGACTTATCGCCAAATGACCTCATACGGCATATCCATTCTCCACC